CAATGGTCCATATTTGCAATTTATTTTGGATTCTTAGTGCTTGAATCTATCTCCCTTTGCGCTTGTAAAATTACTTCGGGAATCTTTGTAGGGCAGAGTGTATCTTCTTGGGTGCTCAATGGGCTCCATACTTTCTTATCATTTCTTTCCATTAAGGACACAAATTCTTCCACAGTTTGGAAGTGAGAAAGGTAAGAAAATAGGGCTGGGGATTTAGCTCAGCGGCATAAGTGCCTGCCTGGCAAGCATGTGGTTGTGAGTTTGATCCCTGGTGCCAACAAAAAAAAAAAAAAGGAAAGGTAGGAAAGCAGCTTGCCCTGTGGGAAAGACTTCCAGCTTAGGAATGCAGCAGAGATGACTGTGGCAGGTTGTTCTTGTGCCATTAATTACATTTCTGACAGGAAAGTAGAAGGAGTGTAAGCCACAGCAGCTATGGACTCCACAGTAAGGTGCTTGTGATTTCATTAGATCACTTATAAAAGATTTTACGTGGGTCCTACCTAAAATATTAAGTTTGAACTTTATTTTTAGTTCTCCGAATAATCCTCTCAGCAGTCTTCTAATAAACTCCTTTTCTGTATAATCCCTAGAATCAGATTTCGTTGTTTGTGATGAAGAGCTCTGCTTTCAGCAATTAGTACCAAGATGAGTTAATTTTTTCCCAGAACAAGTGGAGTTAGGTGGTTGCTGGATGAGTGCAGCTGCGCACACAGTAATCAAGGACTCTACTTTGAGCTTCCTAGTCGGAGAGATTTAGTGTGTTAGCTTTCTACCACTGTGCTTGCTGCCTCTTGGTAGCTACAGGTGTTACTGTACTTTTATGTTCCAGGCAGGCTGCAGGAGTTCAGGGGAGTGGAGAACTGTATCTGCTCTTTTTATCAAGAAAGCAAACGATTCTAAGAAGTGCCCCCATAGACTGCACCTTGCAGTCTTGGCCTAAGTGGCTCGGCTGGTACCCTCACGTATCTAAGTGATTGCCAAGTGAGTACTCAGGTCTCTCCAGTTGGCATGGTGGATTGAACCAAGAGCCTTCACATTGAGATACAATCCCAGCCCTCACCCTATTTAAAAATTGCTTTGAGACAAGGTCTTGCTGAGTCACTATATTGCCCATATTGGACTGCAACTTGTGATCCTCTTGCCTCAGCTTCCTAGAATGCTGGGATTACAGGTGTGTGCCACCATGCCTTGCTGAGTACTTGGGTCTAGAACATCATAGTGAAAGTTGGAAGGGGAAAGCCTGAGAGTACAGCAAGGTGGGTGACGAATGATGCCTAACATATTATTGGTTCCCACCTTTAGGATGATGTATCCTGGGAGCAGGCTGTGCTTACTGAACACTGTTTCTTTAGGACCAAGAATAATGATTTGAAAATATGTGATTTCAAAATGCACTGACTGCTGGCTGATCATTAATCCTCTATCAATCTCTGGAGATTCTTTTTTCAAGATATGTTGTTTCTTACTTACATTACAAAATACTACCAGTATTTTGGTATTTCATGCCATATGACATTATTAAAGATAAATTTTCTTTCGATTTCTTTTACTAGTCTTTTCCATCCTCTGCCTTGCTTACATTATGTTTCCAGTGGACTGCCTTGAATTCAGTTTTCATCTTGTCATTCTCCTCCTCAAAACTCTGTTTGACCTATCGCTCTGCTGCGATAAATCCATCTCTCAGCCTGGAATCTGGCTCCTTGCATTAGCAGGCACGTCACCTCCCTCACATTAGCAATTTACTTGGTAATCACTCCTAAGTCCAGCTAATCTTGAGGCCATCTGGTGCACACTGCTGCATCCAACGTATGAAGGAAGACAGATTTTCTGGAACAAGGCAGCAGGCAGCAGTGGAAAGGGAATAATCGAGACCTAAATAGGGGTGACCTTTCAGTGAGGAGCAGCTGGCTGCTCTGTTGAAAAGGATAGATTCCAAACACTACGCACTGAACTTGAGTTGAGTCTGTAGCTTCATTGGTAGAACTCATGCCAGATAAAGGGTCTGACTGGATTCAAGCTTGTCTGGACTAGTTCAGCCTAAAAACCCAAGCAGCCTTGCCATCCTGAAGGTGAAATGGAGCATTAGCCAGGATGAAGACTTCATCATAGGCTGGTGTTGAGGGCAGAGCTTACAGTGAAGGCTGAAGTCAGGGAGATGTTTGTGTCCAAGTGCCCTCTGCTCTGTCCAGCAGAAACCAAGTGTTTCTAAATGCTAGGAGAGCTTGGGGCTTGGACATTCACCCCTTGGCTCTAGTTGATCTGAGGCTAGGAAGCCGAGTCACTCTCCAGGAACTCACCATTGGCAGCCATCTTGTGTTGGATCAGGATCACCAGTGAGTGACTGGTTGACCTGTCTTCTGCTTGCCTTCATTTCTCTGCCTTTAAAAGGTTTCTGATTTTTGTTAGTAATCTGTTCTTTGCTGTTTTGCCTAATAGGAGATTTTGAAAATCCATGGGGAAAATGTATTGTCATTTGGTTGATGAAAAAATAGTTTAAATTTATATTTTTTAAACATCAAAACAGCATGGCCAGATGTGGTAGCACACATCTGTAATGCTAGTACTCAGGAAGCTGAGGCAGGAGGATCACCCGAGTTCAAAATAAGCCTAGACTGCGTAGTTATTTCAAGGCCATCTTGAACTGCACAGTGAGATCCTTTCTCAAGAAAACCAAACCAAATTAAAAAAAAAACAGCAACAAAATCAAAACCAATATAGATATAGATAAACCTAGCATTCTGTTTTTTTCAGGGAAGATTAAGATGTAAAATTTCAAACACTGATTAAAACTCTAGTCTATGATTATATATTCATTCTTTTCATTTGTGAGAGGTTTTTAGGTGGAAAGACTTGAGAAACAAATTTTAAGACCAGTAAAGAGCCACTGAAAGCATGGTTATTATTATAGGAGTTATCCATTAGAGAGACATATACTAGGATTTGAAACCAGAATTTGGAAATTTTCATTTTTAAGATCAATTTAAGAGACTGTGTGTGAAGTTTTAAGAAGTAGTCTTTCAACACATAAGGAGAATACTTGATAACAGCATTTAGTGATAAGGTTTAGAATAAAACTTATTTTGGAGAGAATATTCCTTCATTCTTTTAATGCCAAAATGCCAAGCCAGTCTACATTAATTTTAAGCTTTTGTCTTTAGTAATTTTAGAATAAATGATTCCTTCTCTATACTGTGATTTTACTGTAGAACATGTCTCTTCTAAGCAAGAAGGATCCTTTTAAACATTTTAAACTAACAACTAAATTGCTTAGACAGAATGAGATTTTCTAGTGTTATCTGTTTGTAGGAAGTTGGAGTCATCTAGCACCTAAATGTGGCAGTGTGTTGTGAATAAACAGAGAACATTTATCTTTCTATTGGTTGCATCCAATACTTTATTTGAAATCACAGGGACTAATTATTGAGAGGGAAGTTTGAGTGTAAGTTTTACTTACATGATGACTCTAGATAGGATTTTTGCTTTATTGTTCTGCTGTATTTAGAAACTATTTCGTGGCTTAAGAATTACCTCTTAACCTAACTTGGTTATATGTTTTGAGGACAACTGTGATTTAAGCATCTGTTTGCTGCTTCAAATAGCCTAAATTATCTTTCCCATTAGATGTCCCATGCATATAAGGGTTGTTAATCTATAATTTCTAGTTTGTTTCATTGAATAAATGTTACTTATCTGTCTCATATTGCTGTTCAATTTTTAAAATCTTTTTTTTTGTTTGTGTTGTTCAGATCAAGTATAAATTCACTGATTATTTTCTATCTTCTCCATTAGGCTGCTGAGCCCTTCCACTGCATACTTAAATTGTGGTTATTGTATTTTTTCACACTGAGATTTTTACTTGGTTCTTCTTTTACCTTCTATTTCTTTGTTGGAGTTATTTTTAATTGGTTTAAAATGTGTTTCAGTTTTTTTTTTTTAAAGAGTTTTATGGTGGGTGCTTAGAGTCCTTGTCAGATAATTCAAACCTCTGTGTTACGCTCAGGCTGGCATTTTCTGTCTTTTGTCATTGAAGTTCTCGGTGTGTAATTTTTGTAAAAAAATTTGACATTTTGGGTATTGTGTTATGCAATTTTGTATCCTATTTAAAACTTGCTTGTTAACATGCTTCCTGGAACACTATGCGGGTTAAGGACAGGAAGCCCTGTCTTGTTACTGCTGGGCATGGATGGAAGTCCAGTTACCCACACTGCTTTGGGGGCCAGCGGGGAGAAGAACTTCATTACTGATGGGCAGAAGCATATTTGGTATCTTTCCCTGACTGCAGGTATGGGAGTGTAGTGTGTATTTGGGAGAGGAGAGCTCCATTCTTGTGTGTTACATGTAAGAAGTTTTATTTTTCCTGAAAGTGTCCCATTCTCTTTAGATGAATTTCCTTCAGTGTTGAACTAGAACTAATGGACATGAACTGTTTATCAGACCTAGATTATAGGATTCATGGTAGAATGAACAGAAATTTTATAATAATCCCTAGCTATTTAAGATCATTTTATACCTATCCTCAAACTTTTAGAATTTGTACTTTAACTGTAAGCAACCATTCATGCCTCTGCTACCCTGGAAACAGCCATGGTCATTGCAGTTACAGCCGTGTGGCGAGAAGTAGCAGTGTCTAAGTAAACAACAATTAAAAAAGCCTAAGTCCTTTTTCTTAAATGATATCATGAGCATATAGTATCTCAGAATGGCTTAGCCAGGAGTGATAAAATGTAAGACTGCTTCATTTTTGGCAATATGATAACTTTCCCCTGATACATAAATAAGTGATAATTTAGGACTGAGTGGGAGAGAGGTGCTGTAAACTGACGAAGTATTTTCTCCAGAGAATCACACGAGGCAAGGGAGGTGATGTAATAGAGATTCTAGTCAGAAAGACTTCACAACTGCATAGCATGCAAGGGGCTGCTTTGTTTCGGGTTGTGGTCTGCTTAAAATGAGGCCCGCCTGGCGATTAGTATCACCGTGGATTAGATTAATTGGCTACACTCAATCCCTTGGTGGACACGCTAAGAATAAATCAAAGGCTTCAGGTTCTTCGCATGAAACGAGCAGGTTACATACCCAGTGATATTTACGTGAACTATTCAAACAATTTAAATATCTTTTTCTTTCCTTGGAAGGAAGGTTTTAGTTTGGTAAGTGCATAACTATTTAAAATCTTTGTCCTGAAAGTAGTCTGTTTTGCTAGTTTTATTTTATGTGTAGATTATGTATCTATTTTGTATCTTCAAATACTGGGAAAGCAATAAACGTTACTAGTAATTATTGTCTTTTGCTTAAATATGTCAGCAACATTTGTAATATGCTGTTATTGAAATAGCAAATAAATTCAGTATTAGGAAATCATGATTCATTATTAAAAATGAGTAAAGTTTATTTTTTTGATTATAAAAGCATTAGATACTCACTATAGAAACCTGTGGGATAATATATTAAAGAAAAAACGAAGCTACTGGAAATATGACATAAGTGGTGTGTTTCCTTTCTGAGTCTCCCTTTCATCAACTATCCCCAAAAGAATTATTAAAATTTGTGAAATGAACTAATTTTTCTTACAATATCATTTCTAAATTGTCATAAGAATGAACATTCTGAATTGATCAACGTCCTGAAGTTTTTGTTTTCTACTTGATTGTTTCTGAGTTGCCTGAATTACTGTTACATAATAGAAAATTTAATTTAAAATATAACTAGTGAAATGACAGGTGCATCTTGTAGATCTGTGGTTTGTTTTGTCAGGTTAGTGGGGAACAAAGGCATAGCCCTGCTGCAAGCCCTGCTAGAAGCTCTTAGCAGCATAGAGTTAAGTGCGCCATTGACCGAGACCCAGGAAGGCACAAACACAAGCATCATTTAACTTAGTGGACCCAAAGGTATTTTTAAAAATCTGCTTCATTCTAGCAAGTGATGAATACAGTGACGATAGCCCCATGTTCCAATGTGAAGCAGTGAAGGGGCTCTGTAGGGAAGAGGAGACGATAGTAGAAGCGAGCTGTCCCTTCACTAAGAGTTTAAAGGTTTGCCCCTTCCCTCCTGTTGTCCTTCCTTATCTACTACTTTCTTTTTGTGATGTTGGCACAAAATCTCCTTTATCTTATTTTAGCCAAAACCTAAATGAACACAAAATGTGAACTGGGCTGAAAGCAAAGGAATATTTGTGATTAGCTCCCTTGCTTTTTCTAGAGAAGCTACTAGTGAGGAAAGCAGAGGACCTCAGGCTTCCTGTCTCCCCTTGTACCTCTTTACACCTCCATATCTCTTTCAGTCTGAATTTCTGTGAGAAGAATTCAACCAGTTTAGACTCTTTGCATATTCGCTTGTTGCTAAGGATAGGTAGTTCCTTTAGTGCATAACGCATTTTAGAGGGATAGAATATATCCGATTATTAAAAATACTTGCAAAGACACAGTGCTTAATTTCCATTCAAGTTTTGGTTAGTTTTCTTTTTAAATAAGGAGCATAATTAATGCACAATAATTTAAAGTCGTGGAGGGCTGGCAGCTCAGTTGCATAAAAGGCGACAGTCTACCATCCAGATTGGAGTGACTTCTTTGCAGGACTCACTCGTGTGCATTGGTGAGATGCTGCACTATTTCCCATCTTCCTGGACTTTGTCCCACACTTGGTGCTCTGGCACCTCAGCCTCGCATTGCTTTTTTTCTGGAAATTGCTGCTTCCTCCCACTGTGTTCCTTAGTCCCTCAGCTAGGTTAGGATCCCTCCTCAAATATTCTCTTGTTACTCTGACCTGTCCTCAATTGTGCCTTTGAATTACTCTCTGAATTTCTCACGCAGTCTAGGAGATGCACATAGTTATGTCAGGAAAGGCTGAACCACTCCCCTGGAAAGCAATTTTATGTGGCTTCTGGCCCACCGATGACACTGCACACTGAATGAACATGGATCCTTTTAGTCAGAGATCACATCAAATCTTTGTCATGTTCTGTTTCATATGCAAGGCCCAAGCTACTGTGGGTTTTTAAGCCTCGCAGGTGTGAAAATGTCAGCACTACCTATAGTGTCCCCTAGAGACTTCTAGGAATTTCTGGAGATTCTCTTACTTGTCATGAGGATCATGTAGATTTGTATTTTTGTTTTGTTTTCGCTATCATCTTCTTATCAAGTTGCCTGGCAATTGCTTTGTTTTAGGTAGTTTTTCTCCCTTCTGGCCATGTGGCATCTTCCAGGAAATGGTACCTTCAGCTTCTGACCTTTGAACTTGAAAATTAGTGTTCAGGACTGGGTGTAGTGAAATAGGGACAATGGGGTTTGCCTTTTTCCTTCTAGTGTCCTTATCTTCCAGGTTCTTTTTTGTGGTCCTGGCACAAAATTTTCTTTACTTCACTGTAGCCAAAAATTAAATGAACACAAACATTCCTCAAAAACCTTAGCATATCAACTTATACAGATGTGTTCCCAAAATGGTCACAAGGTTAATAGCTCTCCAAGTAGTGAGGTCCAGACAGAAATTAGCAACCTTAACGTCTCACAATGCATTTGCATACACAAAAGCTGATCTCAACCAGCAGTATGTTTAAAAACATATTGCAGTAAAAGACACATTCCATTAATCCCCCTCAAAATGCTCCTTGCTTTGAATATATTTATCTCAAAATACCACAAAAACCAAAACCACTTTGTATTTTTTTGCCACTTTTTTTGAGGTCAAACATAATTTTTATTACAGATTAAGACAAATTGGAAGTCAAAGGTCAACGTGGAAGCCTAGTGAGTTTCCAGACTTTTTCTACCCCAAGTAGTCATAGTAACTATGACATTACTTCCACCCCATTCACCTTAGGACAGAATCAGTTATCTTATGACAGGCTCGGGAGGCACTGGAAAATGCACCTTCGATTCTCTTGACACTTCCTGAAGCATTTCTGCAATTCTGCTTTGTGAGTGTGTTTACAAGAGGTTGATAAAAAGTATGATGAATACTGCTGCCAGATGCCAAAGGCAGGCTTGCCAAGGCCTTGCAGTGGTGTCCTCCCCATCTTATGTGCCAGGCCTGGCACAGCGGGGAATTCTGGCTGTTCCAGAGTCAAAATGCCCATGAAAGGTAAGTGTTTTCAATCGATTGAGGACATACAGGCAGTCATAACAGCACAACTACTCTTGAGACTTTATTATAATACATTTTTAAAAGCTTTCCGTATTTCTTGATCATCTTATAAATACCATTTTTCAAAAGGAGATAAAAATGTATATCATACTATTCATGTAAAATATTTTCAAATAAACATGTAGTGAACTCATTTAAAAAGTACCAGAGGCAAAGAATTCTGAAGCCTTCTTTTTAAATACTGAAGGAATTCATCTTTTTAAAATACATTTTTACTTTAATTGGCATGTAGCAATGTAAGACGCCTCAATACATACGCAGGATGCATAATGGTCAGATCAGGGTGAATGGCAGATCTACTGCCCTAGGTAATTATCATTTCCTTATATTGGGTAGATTTAAAATCCTCTCTACTAGCTATTTTGAAACAGCCAACTAATTAGCAGTCACAGATCCTAGTTGGACACAGAAAATTAAAATTATTTCTTCTATCTAACTGCACTCCTGTCCCTATTAATTAGCTTCTCATCTTCTTATCGCAGGTGAGGGCAAGGAGATTAAATAGCCTCCCAAGGTCAGGCCACAGTTTAACAGATGAGGATGAGAAGAGCTCACAGTTTTGCTGACTGCACTGCAAAACTGGATTCTGGAGCTTCTGAAGCACATGCCTATACTGTGGCCTTTCTTGTCTTAAGAATTATAATCATTTTAAACCTCTGGAGAAGGGAGAGGGGCGACCTCTAATTTCCCAGATGATCTTCAAATGCTTTGTCCTAAATAACATATAAGTAAGATTTGCAAACCAATTTGGAGATAGAAGAATTGTAATTAACAGCTTACAAACAATTTAAGTAGGTGATTTGGGCCAGATTTATAGTTCAAATTTTTTTTTTCCTAGCTTTGGAGTATCAATTACATTTATTTAGTTCAATTTGTCTTCAAGGCTTTAGGCTTTTCTTATTCTGTCAGAAGACACTAATAATTACATTGATTTAAAACAGTAGCAGAGAGCTACAAAATACTATAAATGAAAAACAAGTTCAGAACCAGAGAAATCTTTCCACAAGCTGCTCATTTTTTTGCCAGCCAGATTCTAGCTTTCCTGATAAATGGTAAAGGAAAAAGTTTGTAGTTGGCTGAAAGTGACTCTTTTTGAATTTTTTCTAAAGTTTTCATTTAAGAATCACTAATGCCGAGCCAGGCATGGTGGTGCACTCCTGCAATCCTAGCACTCAGGAGGCTGAGGCAGGAGGATCCTTGCAAGTCTGAGATTAGCCTGGGCTACAAAGTGAGCCCAAGGGCAGCCTGAACTGTATAGGGAGACCCTTTCTCAAAAAGACAAAAAAATAAAAAAAAGAACCACTAATGCCAGCAGTATCCAGACTGTGGTATTTGTAGCAGCCTGGAGCAATGCTGTCAAAGAACATTTATTAATTATTTCTCAAAGTAGGATCAGTGCTGTGTCAGATGACTGCATTTTTGCCAATCTGTAGTGGAAACATGATATTATCTTAGAATGGCTCTTATTAAAAGATCAGTGTAGCACATTTCTCTTAGAACTCAGTGTTAGATACATAGTCCTCCAAATAAACTTATTTGGCTCCATTTAATTGATAATTTCAAATTTAGAAAGGTTTTCCTAGTCTTTTCTTTTTCCTGACTGCTCAGACATGCAAGACTAAATTAATGAATTGCAAAAATCTCTTATTTTGGCCGGGGATTTAGCTCAGCAGCACAAACATGTAAGTGAGAGATACTGAGTTCAATCTCTGACACAAAAACAAACAAACAAACAAACAAACAGACAAACAACCACAAAAAACCCAAACAATAACAACAAAACTCTTACTTTTCTCTTTGGATGATTTTTAATTATTTGCTATCTGTTCTTTTTTTGCCATTTTAAAAATTGTAGGATAACTTTTTTGAAGTTTAAAGATTCATAAAGTTTAGCAATTTAGAAAAACAACACAAACAAGGTCGACGACATAGCTGGGTGGTGAAGTGCTTGTCTAGCATGTATGAGTGCCTGGGTTTGACCCTAGTGCTGCAAATAACAACAAAAATAAAACAAAATATCATAAAAAGCAAAAGTCATAAATATTTTTAATAGCGTTTTCATCCTATGGTAACTACCATCTACAATAGGGTATTTCTGAACTTTTTCCAACTTAAGTAATGTTTATTAAAAAAAACAATATTATAGCCCATGTGTTTTAAAGATTGCTTTTTCACTTAGCTATAAGTCAAGATCTTGCAAAAAAAAATACAGCAATGATCAAGGATTGAATAGTTTTCCACTGCATGGGAGTATAATCATTATTTACATTGACCCTTATTAGTGTCTACTGTTTATTTTTAATTTTAAAATTATAAATGTTCTCATTTTATTGTTTATATATTTTTATTGTACTTCCTCAAAATTGGCTTTAAAAATTGACAAAGGAATGAAATCTTAGAAAATATTCTGGATGCCTTAATTATAATCATCATACGTTAGCAACATCCTGTGTTCTCTGTGATGTTGCTATTTGTGACCTAAACAATCTTCTTCACTGTCCAGATTTCCAGCAAAATGAGTGAGACGCCTTCTACGAGCTTTTCCATGATTCACCCGACTTCTTCTGAAGGTCAAGATTCTTTTCCTCGCCATTTAAGAGTCACTCATCCTGTCGTGGCCAAACGGATCAGCTTTTACAAGAGTGGGGACCCCCAATTCAGCGGAGTCAGGGTCGTGGTCAACCCTCGCTCTTTTAAGACCTTTGATGCTTTGCTGGACAATTTGTCCAGGAAGGTGCCCCTGCCTTTTGGGGTGCGGAACATCAGCACCCCTCGAGGACGGCACAGCATCACGAGGCTCGAGGACCTGGAGGATGGCGAGTCGTACCTGTGCTCCCATACTAAAAAGGTGCAGCCAGTGGACCTGGACAAGGCGCGCCGGCGTCCGCGGCCCTGGCTCAGTAGCCGGGCGCTCAGCATACGTGAGCCCCGTGCTCCCGCTGCTGCTCCCGGCGTGCCCCGCGTGCCGCGGAGGCTCATGGTCTTCAGAAATGGCGACCCCAAGGTGCGGCGCGTGGTGCTTCTCAGCAGGAAAGTCACCCAGAGCTTTGAGGCCTTTCTGCGGCACTTGACGGTGGTCATGCAGTACCCGGTGGCCAAACTGTACGCCACAGATGGAAGGAAGGTGAGCATTCTGGGGTCCCCCCTAGTCAGAGCTCTGTTGAGGTCACCTTCCTGGCCTGGATATGTCTTTAGGAGCGTTTACCCAGTGATCATGGGTAGGGGCTCAGCCGCAGCTGTGGACTCCAGTGAGGAATGTTACATACTTTCAGATAGGTCTTTAGTTATACCAGAAGAACAGCTGATCCTTCTTTAGCCATATATAGGCATAATGCATAGTTTGTATGTCCAGTTATTGGGTGTACATCAGTGCCCGAGAAAATGCTTGGTAGTGATCTTTTTTAAGCCCGGAGGTTATTAAATTGATTCAGTCAAAATGATAAAAAAAAACACATGGAAAGAACAAACCTTACTCACGTAAGACCTTGGTTCTTTGGTTTCTTCTAGGTTCCCAGTCTCCAGGCAGTCATCCTGAGCTCCGGAGCAGTGGTGGCAGCAGGAAGGGAGCCATTTAAACCAGGAAACTATGACATCCAAAAGTACTTGCTTCCAGCTAGATTACCAGGAATCTCTCATCGTGTACACCGGAGGGGAAATGCTAAATCAGAAAGTAGAAAGAGTAAGTCATTTATAAACATACAGGTTTTATTTTTAGTTCTGATATTATTTTCATCTCAACAGCAAAAAGTTTGTGCTTAAATGACCGTTTTCATTAACAGAAAATATAGAGGATTAAAGTATTCTAAAATGAAATTAGTTGTAGTTGGAAAGAGTCATAGAGATTATCTAATAATTTCTAAAAATTTTTCCAAATCACTGAATGATGTAACTGTTTAAATTGATGAGTTACACTGTCTTTGTTGGTCTTTCTGTGTTTGCATATTTAGTTAAATCAAAATGCTTTAGAGAGGAATTTTATGGAGGTTAGTAGTTGCAAAATTTTTTCTAGTATTTGCTGAGGTCAGTGAGTTAGTGTAGTGACTATAGTTTTTGGAATCTACCTGTATTTCCTACCTATGTAAACATCATGGGTCCTTAGACTCACAATTTTATTTATTAGAGATTTGGAGTCAGGCATGGTGGTGCATGCCGGTAATCCTAGTGCTTTAAGAGGAGAAAACCAGTTCGAGTCTTGCTAGGGAAATTTAGACCCTGTCTCAAAAAGAAAAATAAAAAAAAGATTAAAACCATTAACAATAATCTAGGTCAGTGATGGCAAATCTTTTAGAGACTGAGTACCCAAATTGCAACCCAGAACCTACTTACTTGTTACAGAGTGACTACACTGCAGTTAAACCTGAGTGCTTCACTACTGGGTGATACTGGGCTGACTTGCATGCGTGTAGATGTAGAAGGCTCTGCATACCTGGTGCAGCAGGTGTGCCATAAGTTTACCATTGTTGATCTAGGTTGTCATTTCCTTGGGATTTGGTAAGCAGTTTGGCTTTGTCCTTTGGTTAGGGAAAGAAGAGAGCCTTTGGGCCCAAGAGTAGGTGTCTTGGTTACTTTTTTTCTTGTTGCTGGGACAAATTACCTGACACTCAAAATGAAGGATGAAAAGGTTTATTTAGCTCACTGTTGTTGAGGTTTCAGTCCATAATCAGCTGGCTCCAAGGCAGGGTGGCATGGCACTCGGGCCACACTTCAAGGCAGCATCAAGAGCAAAAGGGCAGTAAACAAGCCTCTTCTCCTGGTTTATACTGTACATAGGCCACCTCTGCCCCCTTCAGGACAGATACAGCACTCACAAAATCTCCTTGCCCTCCTTTGCACAGGATGAGAGTATTTACAAAGTAAGAACCGAGCTCCCTGCTGAGTCTCTCAGTTAAACTTCTAAACTGCTCAAGTTGTGCAATGTATCAGCTGTAACAGTAGGGGTCTTCTGATTGTGCTCAGTATTTCCAGGGAAGAAGGCCTTACTTTTTTTTTTTTTTTTTTGCTAATATACTGATTATATAGTTGAATTTTTAGACATGGAATAATTTGCCTTTTAAAAAGTGCTACTCTCTCTGCTTATCTCTAATGTAGATAACACTCATATTTGTCATTAAATTATTTCATGGCTATGCATAATGCTCCTGTGCTGTGTTAGGCTGTCAAATATATGAGTATATGAGTGCATTATGCATAGGCTGGCACTATATTTCACCTTTGTTATTTATTAAAGTAATTTTATTATTTTGTATCTGATAGATTTTTGATGATTTCAGGAAATCTGAGGGCTTGTTAAATTTTACTTATAAAAGTTATGAGTGAAGAATTTGGATTTATAATTTTGATAAAAGTGTACTAAAAGTAACAAAAATATTTTTAGATGTATATTCCGAAACATCAAAGATATTTACTTAGTGGCACGAGCAAATCTTTGAAGATGACTAATGATTAGCACTTGACTAAATTTAAGAAAGGAGTGTCAACTTTAATGATAAGGATACACATTAAAATTAATATCTAGATCTATGTTCTTTTTGTGTCATATAGTTAGTCAATTACATTGATTAGATAAAATGATTCTAAATTAAGTATTATTTGATTAATTCAATCCTAAATATTCACGATGTTTCTACTGTCATAAAATTATAAATGTTTTTCTTTTATGTATACAGATACAATGCCAACACATACTGTTACTTGCTTTGTTTAAATGGGTAAACGATACTTGTTTAGATTTGTTTTAGTACTGGTATACTAGTAAGGAAACTAAAAAAGCCTGCAAAAACCCTTTTTATCAGTAGAATTTTTAGCAATTTTCATTTTCTGTGTTTCTTATTAAAATAGTTAAAATTCTGTAAATCACTGAAATGAAATTGTAGGTTTCTTTTAAGAGAGGTTCAAAGAATCATGTAAGGAATTATGATAAGTTTTCTCACATAGCCATTGAATATATAGAGTTTAGAAAATTATCAATAATATGTTGTGAAATATAGTGTGGTATTTTTGCACTAATTCTTTTCTTTTCTTCTTTCTTTGCTGCCTCTTTAATTGGATATTTACAACTTCTCCATCTTCCTCTTATATTTTGATGTGGACATCTTATACTCTTAAAACCTTGAAAGTGAGCACACATAGACCCTTAACTCCAAGATCCCAGATTTATTCTGTTTCTTCTGATAAAATACATGATTGCTACTCAGACTGTTCTTTTGCTCCTGGAAATTACCTGAGCTTAGAAAAACATGAATCTCAGAATTTATCAATATATCCTTCTGAAGATATTGAGAAAGCAGTTATTTTTAATCAAGATGGTACTATGACAGTTGAGATGAAAGTTCGATTCAAAATAAAAGAAACGGAAACTGTAAAGTGGACAACCACCATCAACAGAGCAGGTCTATTAAATAATGATGCAGAGAATGACATAAGCAGCTGTCTGAGAAGGACAGATGATGGATCATCTAGTTTAAAGCTTGCAGCATGTTCATTGCCTGAGGTTGTCACAGGCAGTAATCAAGAGGGCAGTTTGGCAGAGAAAGTCAAAACTCAAATGATAGATCAAGATGCTGAAACGTGCAGTTCTGCTGGTTGGGAGAATGCTGCTCTGGACACAGCTGTCATTCAGGAAACTCAGGCTCAAGTGAAGCATCATTTTTATAGGCCCCCTACACCTGGACCAAGGAGACTGAGAGAAAAGAAATCTGTGATAGGGAGCATGACCTTAGTATCTGAAACCGAAGTGCAAGAGAAGCAGTTTTCCTATAGTGAAAAAAGGGAGGGTGGGGAAAACAAATCAGAGTATCACATGTTCACACATTCTTGTAGTAAAATGTCATCACTATCTAACAAACCTGTTCTTGTTCAGGGCAATAACAATGAGCAGACAGAGTCACCTTTAGAAAGAGTAAAGGAGAGCAAACTCCTCAGGTCAAGTGCAGTAAGTGCTGGTGTGATAGAAATTACAAGTCAGAAGATGTTAAAGATGTCCCATAGTAATGGCTTGCCATCGGCTATATCAGAGAACTCAATTGTGGAGAATGGTATAGTTGACAGTGTAATATCAGACAATAAGACTGATATAAAGAACTTTGTAACTTATGATAATACAAATGCTAGGTTCAGTCCTGTTCTAGCAGAGGCAAGTCATTCTTCAAGTAACAACTCTGGAACTGACAAAAGTATTTCTGAGGCTCCAGCTTCAGTAGAATCCTCTGTTTTAACCACAGGGATTGACAGACTAATTAATGAACTTGCACAGTGTGGTTTAACAGAACCTCTAGAGAATGGAAAGCAGATCTTGTCATCTGTTGCCAGCAAAAAGAAGAAGAAATCACAGCAGCAAATGATCTCCATGTATCAGGCAGGGGAGACAATAACCAAAAGAATCTCTAAGAAGAATAAGAGAATAAACACAGGAGGTACAATGGCACAGGAAACCATACTGCAAGATTCAGACTGTTCTCTTAAAGGAAGGGTACTTCATGAGGAAGACCTGCATACAATTGGTATGGTAGTTGAATCAAATCATTTTAGTACCAAAAGTAATCTCAATCCTATGGTTTCCAAGAATTTCCGTAGACATAAATTAAATGATACTCAGAATTTTAAGGTTCAGGGACTTTTGGGCAAAAGAAAATCCAGACCACTAAAGAAAATTAGCTTAGGGGCTCCTAAAAAAAGAGAAATTAGTCAAAGAGATAAAGTATTTCCCCATTATGGATCTACATACTACAAAAGCACATCAGAAAATCAAACTTTATTTCATATACTTAACTACCCTGAGCAAAAGCCAAAAGCTTTTTCTGGACCACAATCTCAAGCAGACATGGTGTTTAGGAATTTGAGAGGAATGGCAAAAATGAGCTTGGTTCCTAAATTTAACGATTCACATATAACTTTAAAAAGCCAGAAAAAACAAAAAGGGAATAAATTGAAATTAAGCACTGTTGTAAGTAAACAATACGCTAAAACCAGGGAGAATTCCTTAGCTTCTTTGAAAACTGATTTTTCTGCAGATACGGCCCATCATTCAGAAAATTATGTACACAGATGGTTACAGAACATAAATCCATATCCAATTTTAGAACCTAGAAAGTTAGCTCCAATACGCAAAAATAAAAAGAGTATGGCAAATTATGACAGTGGTTTTCTAGGAAATGATGTCCATAGAAGTTCTGTAAAAGAAAATAATTTTGTCATAAAAAGTAAGAAGCACATAACTAAAAGTGCCAGTTTGACAGGAAATAACCTATTTAAAGGAGGTGGCGAATTTTTTAATGGTGAAGAATTTGACAAAGAGCTCTATGAGAACCAAGTTGGATCTCTGAATGATGCTTACTTAGTTTCCTTGCAAGAGTACTGTACTGTGTCACAGTCAGCTACTAGTGATCACAATACTGAAAGTCATATATCCTCTGATAATTCAGGACCAGAGATGGGCCTTGTTTACCATGAAATAAACCTAGCTACAAAAGGGCAAAGTGTAGAGGCTGCCATTCAAGTAGATCCTGTGGAAGAGAATATTTCCAAAGACCTTTTACCATTTTTGTTGCTTCAACAACTGCAAGCTTCAGTTTCCAGCAACCACAAGACTCAGAATGGAGTTGTTCAAATGCCAGAGTCACTTGTAGATGTTCCCTTCTCTTCTGCAATATGTAATTCATCCACCAATCTCCTTCTTGCTTGGCTCTTGGTGCTAAATCTCAAGGGAAGTATGAGTAACTTGTGTCAAGGTGGTGCTTGTAAAATTACCAACAGTTCTTCTGAAACACTTTCATTATTGGAGGTGCTAAAGCATGTTGCTATTACCGAGAAAGCTGATGACCTGAAGGCTGCTATTGCCAGTTTAGTGGAGTCCACCACAAATTGGATTGAACCCAGTGAAAAAGAATGTGATATAGCTCCAGTAAGTCTTTCTGCAACAGTCAGGATTCAGAGAACTCCAGATTGCAATACAAATGAAAGAATACAGAAAATCACTTTGGATAGGGGCAACTCTGCCAATGAGGCTTGCGGTTCGGAAATTTGTGTTTCAGAGATTTGTTCTCCATGTGAGATGTTCACTGTGAATAAGACTTACTCATCAGAAGATTTATGTAACCCCAGGAATGCTTTTTCCCCTAATATTGATTGTGTCATAGATAAGACCTCTATGAATAAGAGTTGTTTACTGGGAGAAGTCTGTTCATTTACTGAAGCTGTGTCTTCCCATGAGGATTGTGCTCAGAAGGAGAATCATAGTTATGAGGTGGCTTGCCCAACTGATGAGACCCACATTCCCATGAGAGTCTCTGATACCACTGACTTTTTAAATTCCAGAGAAAACAAATGTATTGATAACTTGGAATTGACTGAGGAGTTCAAAAGCATTGATGAAACTCAGAAAGACTTAAATGTTTTGGCAGATCCTGAGTGTAAAAATGACTTTAACACATCAGTGTTACCACAAAATGTCAATGATGTAAGCCCTGGTGATATTTTCCAAAGTAAAAGTGATCTGGAATTTGATGTGAAACACTACTCTCTAGAGCAGTTTAAAAATGATCCAGTAAGATTTCAGGATAAAAATACATACTCATCTATTGATAAAGAAGAATCAAGGACTTCTGAAGAACCAGGGTCAATAACCAACAGCATTACATCAAGTGAAGGAAACAACCTTTCAGAATTGGAATCTTTTGAAGAATTAGAAAATCAAGACAATGATACCTGTAATACAGAGGTAAGTGCAGGTGAGCAAGTTACTGAAGGATCAGTCACAAAAGAACTGGAGACTATTAGAAATTTGAAATTGATAGGCAGATCTAGTAAGAATGTTTTAGATGAAGACAGAAAGAATGGTAAAGTTTCTGAGACAATCACTAGGCAGCAGGTGACACCACCATCTTTAGTTTTTTGTTATGATTCTAATCAAAATACTGAAAATGTGATCAGTTCAGGGGAAAGTAAGGTGAGAGTTAAAATGATGGTGAAAAACATGGAAATAGCAAGTTGTTCAGAGTCTTCACATGACTTCAAAAAATGTTTGAAAAGTCCAGCGACATCTGACTGGTCAGATTATAGACCAGACAGTGAGAGTGAGCAACCATGTAAAACATCCAGTGCTGACCACAGTGATGGTGACGATATTGCCCAAGAGAAAGAATATAATAAAGGATTTGTTAAAAGGGCAATAGAAAAGCTTTATGGCAAAGGAGAGATTGTTAAACCATCTTTTTTCCCTGGATCTATACACAGAACTCAAGTTTGTCCTTGCAATTCTGTGGGATTTCAGTGTCCTAGAAAAGCAAGTTTTTTTGATTCTGAAGATCAGTCATTTGGGTCTTATGAACAGGTATCTAGTATGTCACCTATGTTGCAAGAATTCCAGGAGGATAAACAAGGAAAAGGTGCTGTTAGTAGTGTGAGGGACAATTACCATAGAAGTGAAATTGTAGAGCATGGTATAAAACAAAGTAATCATAATAGGATCCTTGGAGATAAAGAGGAAGGAGAACTGATTGACAAAGGCAAATGGCTACTGAGAGAAAATCATTTGCTAAGAGTGTCATCTGAAAATCCTGGCATGTATGCCCATGCAGACACCACATCCGTGGATACCCTACTTGACAATAACAGTAATGAGGCACCATATTCACATTTTGGGAATTTGGCGCCAGGCCCAACTATGGCTGAATTATCTTCTTCAGAACTGGAGGAGCTGACTCAACCCCTTGAGTTGAAATGCAACTACTTTAACTTGCCTCATGGTAGTGACTCTGAGCCTTTTTCTGAGGGTTTTCTAGATGTTCAGAATAAAACCTGTGCCAAGGAGAAAATACCACATCACCACACGGAGGGGAAGAATAATCAGTCAGAAAGAGTATGCACATCTGTCACTCATGCCTTTACATCTTCTGCAAACAAAATCCACCCTGTCTCTGATGGTACTATTAAAACCCAACCATTACCTGGCAGCAGTATGACACATGGTGCACTTCGAGAAGGTGACTCTCTGGATAAACTCTATGCTTTTTGTGGTCAACATTGCCCAATACTAACTGTTATTACCCAACCTGTGAATGAAGAAAACCGAGGATTTGCTTATCGCAAAGATTCGGATATTGAAAATGTCTTAGGTTTCCGTTTATGGATGAAGATATACCCACATTTGCTACTGTCAGATAAAAACATGTACAGGGATAAGAATAATAAAGCAAGTAAGAAAAAAGAATATACTGACCATGCCATTGGTGATTCACTTGATCAACTTTATTTCAGTAATGTGGTTGGCTTAACAGATAAGAGAGAGATACCCAAAATAACTAATTTCTTAGACTTAGAGAAAGAAAGTATGTTAAAGAAACTTCAGTTATATTTAAAGCAAAGGCTTTGTGTGAATTTATTGTACATACTTTTATTTGTTGTGGGTGATATGAATTCAAATACAAAAAACCCTACCAGTTGGACAGGTGATATCTTTAAAACAGTTGGTGAGGCTAACGACTTATTAAATAACAGATTCCAGAATTTAAGAACAAATCTCAAGCATATAGTAAGAGAAAACATCACTTGTCATTTCTTTTTTAAAATACTTGGTCAAACTTGCCTATTAGATTTTTGCCAAGTTGGAATATCCTTACATGTTTACAAAAGAAATACGTTAGAAATACATTATATTTTTGAGAGTGAAAGTATTATTTGGGAAGAGGAAAACCAATTACATTTTACTGATCTTGAAAGCAATAATGAGCAAGATGACTTATAATTTCAGTATTAGCAAGTCTTTCTCTGTTAATATATTTTTTCATAATAATGTGAAGCACTTGGGATAGACATATTCATTAGATAACTTCCAAGAATTTCCTGCTCTTTTAAAATGAGCTTACCCTAGAAAGCATACCACTGCATAAACAATTTGACATTCGTCATTCCTCTGTTCTTTTTTTTTATAATTTTTTTTTTGTCTTTTTTTATCGGTACCGGGGATCGAACTCACGACTGCCTGCTTTCAAGGCAGGCGCTTATGCCACTGAGCTAAACCCCCAGCCCCAATTCCTCTGTTCTTTATTTTTCCAGTAATTCCTCTTTATTTGAATTGATCATGAACTTATGTTTTTTGTGTTTATGATTTTTTTTGCCCAGGGCATCAAAAGTATATCTTGGATATCTTTTTATTTTGTCAGCTTTGTGTAAAATGTATATTGAACATAATGGTGAATAAATGGAATAGATATAGCCTTAAAGTATTGTATTTATAGTTTTAAGTACTGATTTGATAAAATAGATCATTGTAAAATGTGCCAAATGTGTTAAGTTCCCTCAGGACACCTATCTAATTAAGTCACAAGTATTTCCATGGGGCAGGAGTTGCCATTTTTCCATGAGAAAGATGCTTCACTACTGAGTTGCTTCTGCAGTACTTTTTTGAGAAGTTTTTGTTTTTTAAGTATTAGTAAAATTTCAGGAAATCTGAAGACATCAGGAACAAGTCAAAGAATTTCTGTGAAGGAAAAATTAAAGGACATGGAATAATTTAATCTGGAAAGGAAAAACTGGTGACTGTAAAATTCTCTTGAAACTAAAGGAATTGCTATGAAGAAGTTGACAGATTTCTTTGGATCTTTAGTTGCTTTAAAACAATACTTAAATATAAATAAAAGCATGTAATTATCTGAAAGCATACATTTGACTAAACTGTGACTCATAAATTATTGCATAATTGTATATTGCTGGTGTTAACTAGGAAACATTTTAAGATACCTTCCATTGCATCACTATATGATAGTGTAGAAATCAGTCTTATAAAACTTGGAAATCTAGTCTATTGTCTAGACTGACTCAAAGTAGAATACTGTATTTAATGTTCTTGGAGCAGTACATGAAGGGGCCAAAATAACATAACTTGAACATTGAAGAATTAATGTAATTAAATACATAACAAATAACTTTGGTTCCTGTTAACTTGATTTGAAGTCCTGTATTACTCCCACTATCTTGTTTTGACTGATTAGACTCTGTTCCGCTCTGTTTGATAGTATCAAGTTTGAGGGTACAGACAACTACTTTGAAGGCAATAAGATTCACTATGATGCCCATTCTGGTCTGACTATTATCTTCTTTTGAAGTCCTGTAATGTTTACAATGTTTAGGTTTTATTGGTCTTGTTCTCTACTGTTCTGTTCAACTTCATTATACCTAATGATATAGGCAATTCTTTTTAAGGAAGCAAGTGGCATTATGGTATTGGCATTGTTAATAACCTTGTACTCTGTTTTTACATTATGTACTATGTCTATCCTTGGTTTTGACTGACAGCTTTGTTTTGTCATATTTGGTTTTATTTTCTTCCAAAAAAAGTAATTAGAACTATGAGAGTAATAAAACCCAAAATGTGTAAATTTTGTTGTAAAAAAAAGAGAGGAAAAAAAAGGGATACAACTGCAAGTGTGTTTAGGTGTTTTAGGATAGATGACCATATTACAGAGTTTATGTTGGATCATTGAACACAACTGTTTGCAGTCTCACTGTTTGAATGTTCACTTTGTATGCTTTGATCCTGTGACTCGAGCAACTATTTCTAAGATGACAATGTGTAATCTATTAACTGGTGATTTCTTACTGTTTTTTTTTTGTAGTCCTGTATTACCTGTACCCTTACATTGTTTTGTCTTGTTTTATTTCGTTTTTTCTTTTAAATAAAATTTAAAAAAAGTTAATGAGATGCAAAAGAAAAAGAATAACTTTGGATTTAGTTTGGCATGACTCATAAACCCATAAAATTTATGAATTGCTACATTACCAGGTAAAGAATATACAGAACATGCTTTTACTACATTAAACAATGCCCTCTTCTAATCAAAATACAGGAGGTGTATCATTGTGTAAGCTTCTTTAGTGAGCATTGAGAAACTATAATGAAATAAAAGAGTATTCGTTTTGGAGAAATAATAGAGAAGAATTAACATTAATTTTGTGCGTGTTGTATACTAGGACTGTGCTAGATTACAGATTTATTATATGAAATACTTTCTCATAAAGGCAATGTGCTTGGTGTTATTACTCCTTTTTTAATGTAAGAACTTAGGTAGATACATGACTTTAATCTGATGTCTGGTGGATGTTATGTCAAGATTTAAACCTAGTCTTTTGTGCAAGAAAATCAATACTCTTTCCTGTATCTTCGTTTTTTCTCATGAAGAAAGGTAAAGGGTTTTTAAAAATTAGACCTTATTCCTTGCTGCAGAGACAAGGAAATTCTTTTTAATTTGGAAAAAAGTATGATATTTAATTGTACTCAGGAAATTAGGGAAGCCACAACAACCGAGAGATTTAGAAATATAAGGACGTAGTATATGCTTTTTGGCAGTGATACAATATCAAACAATGTCCTGGGACAGTTCAGGTAATACTGGGCAAGAGAAATTGAAATTGCAATCTTGAGTTTGTAATACATGACGTATTACATCTTGCTTATGTGAACACGTTGATATATTTAATTCTGACCTCTGAGTCTGATCACATCTTATTCATGTTACATACCAAAACTGGAGTATTGTTGGGGCCTACTGAACATCTAGAAATGTATATTGCGTGGATGAATAGTACTTTTAAGGCATTTACTCTTTCTTAATTAACTTTTGTTGTGTATATATTGAAGGATATACAAATATGCTGAGGGATAGTACTGTTTCTTGTATTTTATAAAGCAGTATTTCAATCATCTTTAACAATATGAATTTTTCTTTTAAACATTGAAAGAATTTTTTATTTTCATAAGACTTGTATTAAAAGCATCATGCGGGCCAGGGATTTAGCCCAGCAGCACAAGTGCCTGCTTGGCAAGGGCAAAGTCATGAGTTTGATCCCCAGTACCAGACAAAAAAAACAAACAAACAAAAGCCCCCCCCCCCAACCCACATCATGTAACACTGCAATTTAGGAGAAATGAAACTTCATAACAAACTTAAGAATGCTATATAGACATTTTTTGTTCAGAGATGACATCCTTGAAAGACAGGAGTGTGGCTTCTTATAACTCCAGGTGCTCTTCATCTTATACTGGGAATTACATCTTAATGAGCCAATTTCCTGAGGGTGCCAGAGGATGCCTGAGTAACTATTACTTGAATTCAGGATCTCGCATGTGCAAGTGGAATGCTGAACTTCTCTTTGAGTCCACCAGATGGCAGCTGTGCAATGCACTGTCGGATGCTCAGGTGCCCTCACAAGGAGCTTGCATGGCCAAAGTGATCACCTAAGCATTGTGAGGGTCTCTGGGCATCCTGCTTCTGCTTGGAAGAAGGCTAATGCCTCACTATGTAGGCATCCCCCAAATACTAAATAAAGAAGATGTAGCTTTCAGAATGAAAGGAAACACTGTCAGTGGCAAGAAATTGAAGTTCAGAAGTGGAGGATTAAAAGATAAAGTGGCAACTATAAAGAATTATCAGTTTTTATGAACTAAAGCCTTATTTCAGAAGGATAAAAGCCATTAATAATCCAAAACAAATGGAATTTTAGTGAGTCATTGTCTCAGTGGGTAGAAATTATTTTATAACATTTTCATAGTTTACTTCTTTCAGTGATGCAAAGTATGTTCCTTAATTAAAAGGTTAAAGTTTAAGTACTAAAGCCTTACCTCATGTTTGTGGCACCCTTTTTGTGAATCTCTTTGTTTATAAAATGGGGACACTATAAAGTTCTTACTAAGAGGTACCTTATAATGTTATTATGAGAAAATCACTATAGAGAATGCTGGTAAGATTCTTCACACAGCCCTGGCATGCATTGTGGAACACATTTTACTTATTTGAAAAAAATCTGTTAGTGTTAACACCTTTGCTATACTTTTCAAAAGTTAGTGCTCTAATGAAGGACCGAGCTCTGGTGGGTGGTAAAATTTGTAGAATACAGTATAATCAGCATGTATTCATATGACATTTTTACTTTTATAAAGTAAAAGTGATTAACATTTTGAGTCCTGTTTGGTGCCAGATATTGTTCTGAGCTCTTTCTATATACAGTCTCAGCAATTCTCACAATAAATCTCACATGGGAATAGTGTCTTTATTGTGGTCAGAGGGGACCAGAGCTTGCAAACAGAATCTGTAAAGAAGCACTTTTAAGTTCATAACTGTGTTTGGACCTCATAAATAGTCCTGAGTTTTGTGGTTTGATCTTATGTATATAGATCTACCCTTAAAATATGAAATTATTATTATTTTTGTTGGTTGAGGCTAAGAGGGATCCTGTAACTCCTCAGAGTACCATAGTAAGTCAAAGTTATTGTAATATGAAGTACTTTCCCCTTACTATATTGGTTTGTTTATTGAGATATTAAAGCAAAATTTAAAAAATTTTATTGAAAAAAGGTAAAGTATAATTTCATAAGAAAATAATGGGAGAATAACAATAGTGAATACATCACATTTTGTCATCTTCAAAGCAGTTACTCAGAGTGCAAGATATGGGCATAAAACTTTAATCCATCCACATGAACCTTTCTTTTCAGTTAACTAAAAGATACCAGTAATATAGCTAACTTGGATTTTTCTCCATTTTCCCTTATTTCTTTAATCCTGTCTCTTTTTTCCTTTTAAACAATTACTTCCCATTTCACAATGTCTGTTGTACATTCTAGACCATATTTACTTTTTCAGTGTCTCACACCAGAAAGACAATATGATGTTTACATGAGTCTAACTTATTTCACTTATGAGTATTGTCTCAAGTTGCATCCAATTATCTATGAACGTCTGGGGTTTATTCTGCTTATGCCTGAGTAGTATTCCATTATATAAAAATATCACATCTTTATCCATTCTTCGGTTGAAGAGGATATGAATTATTTCTAAGATTTAGCTATTAAAAATTGTGCTGCTAGAAACATGAGTGCACATGTATCACTGTGATATATTTTTGATTCTTCTGGAAAGATACCCAGAAGGGATTAACTGGTTAAAAGATAAATTTTAAAGCAAATATGAATTCTGTATAACATGAATGTATGCCAAGAATTTTATTTAACTTATAAATGAAGGAACTGTCAATACATTAAAATTGGTTCAAAGGAGAGTTTAGTATCACCAAAAATAGGTGGTTAAGGCACACTGAAATGATGTGGACATAGGACAATGCTGTAGCTCCTTTCCTGTATTTGGAAATAATACTTGATGCCCTCAATTTAAAGAAGAGTCTGCTTCGGCCCGAGGTTTTGGTTCATGGTTGACTGGATCCAAAGTAGAAACAGGATGACAGAGGGCACAGCAGAGGAAAAGGTGCTTAACTTGTGGCAGCCAAGGTGCAGGGAGAGTGAAGGGGAGAGAAGATATCCCTTGCAGAAATCCACCTCCTGACAGCTCCTTCCACTACTAAACGCCAGTCCATGGCCCAGTCATCTTCAACATGGGATTTTAGGGGAGATTTTAGATCTAAATCACAACAGACCACTGATTGGAACACCACCAATTTGTATTTCTTTTCTTAATTTTGTTTAAAGAAAGAAAGAAAAAAACAAAATACAAAAAAGGTGGAATAATACAGAATTCAAGAAAAAGTTAACACTAAGAAATTGCTAGTTGATACATTATGTATTGTCATCTTAGAAATAGTTGCTCAGGTTACAAGATCAAAGCATAGAAAGTGGATAGACACTCATACATTGACAGTGCAAACCATTCTGTTAAATGATCCAACAAAAGTTTAGTAATATGGTCATCTGTCTTTCACACTTATACATACAGTTATATCCTTTAGAGCACTTTCTTTCTCTTTCATTTTTACAATATCTATTATATATTTTGGATCTTATTACTCTTTCAGTTTATATTATTTTTTACACTAGAGAGACAATGTGGTATTTACTAATGTGAGTCTTTTTATTTCACTTATCCTCATAAGTGAAATTTACCATTTACCTAAATAGACCTCAAGATCATCCTTTTTATAGCTGAGTAATATTCCATTGTATAAAAATATCGTGTCTTTTCATCCACTCTGTGGTTGATGGGCATTTTGGTTTCCAAGATTTAGCTATCACAAATTGTGCTGTATTAACATGGGTGCAAATCACTGTGACATAATCTCAATTTTTCTGGGAAAATACCCAGGAGGGTAATAGTTGGATTGAGTGGAACTTCCAATCTTAGTTTGCTGAGAAATCTCCATATTGATTTCCATAGTGGTTGCACCAGTCTACACTGCCACCAACCAACAGTGGAGAAGTGTCCTTTCTCCCTGCAGCTCACCAACATTTGTTATCAGTTGATTTCCTGATGGCAGCCATTCTTTCTAGGGTGAGATGAAATCTTAATGCTGTTTTAATTTGCATTTCTCAAATTACCAGTGATGGTGAACATTTCTTCATGTATTTATTTGACATTTGTATATCTTCATCTGAGAACTGTGTGTTCATCTGTGTGTTATTTCTGGAAAGGGTCTTTGAATTTGCGGTCTTGATGTTTTTTAAATTCTTTATATGTTCTGGATATAAGTCCTTTGTCTGAGGGATTTTTAGCTAAACTTCTTTCCCATTTTGTGGGTTTTCTTTTCACTCTGTTGGTGATTTCTTTTTTTTAAATTTATTTAAAGAGAAAAAAAATCAGTAAAAAGATACAAGTAATACAGCATTTAAAAAAATTAAGAAATCACTAGTTAAGAGATTGCATATTGGTCATCTTAGAAATAGTTGTTCAAGTTACAAAATTAAAGCATACAA